TTGTTGTGGTTTTTCCGAGTAATGGCTTGCTCTCAGTAATAAATGGTTTACGCTGAAAGTTATACGGATCCGTCTTGAACATCATAATTAAGGATGGCCGGCGAAATACCCAAGTGCCCGTTGTATGATTGGTGCATTCACTTCGACAATCAAACCACGGGAAAATATGATATTGTCGAAATTCTAGCCTCAGTGCTGCATTTCGGGATCATTCTTAGGCATCAAGATTTGTCTTTCGAAGAGCGAGGTGAAGTAAATGCACTAATTTATTCCTTCATTACTCCTCTATCGCAATCAAATCTCACCTCCTCTGAGGGAAATGTGAATATTGATCAGGTAAAATGCCTATAGTTCAATTACTGTAAATGATGGTAAAAACGGGAGGACTTCCTCACTTTACCCAATGTTTTACGGGACTTGTCAAGGCGTCCTTCCTTGAAGCAAGGCATTCTTTCTCGGAGAACTTCTGTCAGACTGAAGAAGTTTACTTCTGCAATTTTCGAGGTGTCGTTGACCTCACTCCAACAACAAAGTTTGCCATGAATAAATGCAGCCGATATGAAGATGCTATCTGTATGTTGTGACAACAAATTCGTATTTATGAATTTCTTCGATGGTTTCCCATCACGAGTACCGTTTTTTGTGGTCCCTCTCACTCATTCTTATCATAAAGCACACGGAGTGAATTGATAGCCAACACGATTTTCGAGGAGACTTGAATTACTTCACGATTTTACCGAGTGTCCATTTGTATTGGGCACAGAATACCGACCATATTTCCCTCGAAATCCAATGTAACTTAACTTATCTCACTCCTTTACTGAAACATTTTCTCCTTGTACATGTGTATGACTCATTGCTGTTTATTGTTGCTGTTATCAGAATGGCATCATTTTAGGCATTCGATGTATTGGTATTTTCTCTCAGCCTTTAGTGATTAAACCACATTCCATATGAACAGTGGGAAACACCCGTGCTGTATTTCACAAAAAGATTTCGTGCGACGTCTAACGAAGTACTGCGTTCCCCATTGACCAGCACAGTGATATCTCCCTACCGTGTGTGTAATTGACAATATTACCTTTCTGCGAAAGCTCTCTCCGGAATAGCGCGGACATGGTGAATATCTGACAGACTTCAAAGGGCTTGGCTAAATGAACTTCTGCTTCAAGGATCATTATTTATCCATCAGTGAAAAAACCGTTAAGGTGAGGCGGATAATCATGAATTTGCCAGCTTGTCGAAATATGGCGTTCACTTATTGTCTGGTTCTCAATATTCCAGCAAAATTTGATTCTGTGTCTGCTGTGTTTCCTGGCACGCAACAGGCTTACGAGATGGTCACCAGTCGAATCGGTTGATTTCAGTTCAGCTCAATCCCAAAAAGCATTAACCGTGTACTGGGCTTCAGCTGTCAAGTCGGTAAAGCATTCAGTCTAGGTTTTATTCGGTGTAAGGAGGTAAGTTTGACAGGAGAACAAGGTTAACCTAATTGCAGCTATTTGTGAGCGATTCAGTTTATACTTCCTTCCACTCATCAGGATGGAAACCAGATCGTGTATAGTTATATTTTTTGATTCACTTCCTGTTATCACTTTTTGGCAACGCAATATTTCGGCATGAGTGTAGTGGCCAGTCGAGAGCTGCCAGCAGCGTAAGTGACCAGCAGTGACGGCATGAGCAGTTCCTAAGGAGAACTGTTTCAAGGAGAAGAGGCCTGATTGAAGAACGGGTGGGTGAACGGGAACGACAAAAGGATAAATCCTCGTGTAACGGGTTGGTGGGGTCTTTGAATATTTGGCTGGTTAGGGTTAAGTGAAACGCGATATTCCAGTCACTCAGTTCACTTGAAAGCAGTAATTGGAACAGATGAAACGAGACCTACCTATCAAGCCAAAGTACAGCGCTTCTGGGTCCGATTCCAGTAGTCCTGGGAAATCGCAAGGGAATAGTAAAGCAGGCTAGGAAGAACACATTGGGAGACAAACTTGGTAATAATTGATCACAATGCCTTAAGCTAACTGAGCTCCCATTGGTTGAGAGTTGTCTATCAGAGGTTATTATTGTGGAAGTTAGCCCCTTATTTTCGATGTGAGTAGTGTCTGGACGAAAGGATAAAACTTTCCCAGAAGCATACGATCGATTTCGCGGTTGGTGCTGACAAAACGACTTTGGAAAAACTACCTCATTCATGCACACTCCTCACCATTCTCATTAGATTACAGCCATTACGTCCCAATTATCTAACAGAGCTCACTCCAAATAGCTGTTTGAGCTTATTCGAAAGAGAACCCGTTGTGAAAGGGGAGTGGAAATGGCTGAGAACATATTCAAGGCAATTGGAGGAATTACATTTTGAACGGAATCGAGAGCGAGGAAGATCTGTTTTGGGCATCTATTCACAGAAATTTCCAAGAGCAAGTAGAATCGTATTCAAATGGGAGATGATAGCGTGAAACGGTGAATGTCGCGTTTTTAGGTTTCCAATAGCTCTGTTACT